TATAAATAGGGAACTCCCACTCAATACAGGAAATGATACCACCTAGCCAGCTGCATGGATGCTGTGGGTGCCAGAGGACTGGCATTGTGCCCAAGTACCCAGGTGTGAGGTCAGAACGTTTTGCCAAACAGACAAGGGACGAACAAAATATCCCTTTGCTTCCTTTAAAAGGCTAGATAACTGGTGAGGTTAATTCTGACTTCCAGATTTAGGGTAGTAATTTTAAGAAATACCTCTAGAGCAGATCCTAGAGAAGGAGGCTGTCCAGCACGGACTCAGAAATTACAAGAGCGTATCATCCAGCATCACGGCAGCCAGCGTGGAGAGCAAAACACCTTCACTCTGCATCCCACCTTGAGTTGTCACTCAGTGGACTTGCACCTGTTTGTTTTTTTCTCCTCCCCCAAAACTTAAGAACTTTTTTGAAAGCTACTGACTGGTAGAAACTCCAGATTCTTGCTTTAAAGTGAACTGGCAGCATCTTCCCAACTTTGCTGGTACCTCACATTCTCATCACTATTTAAAAAACTCTTAAGTTCTAGAACCAAATTCACAATAACTTTGCTGAAAAGGTTCTGCTCATGGATCTAGCCCTCATAGTACTATCTCCCTAAATTTCACATCAGTGCTTGGTAAAGAATGAGCAACAATTCCCTCTTTTTAAAACTGATATTTGAGAAAACAGGGTTAACTTTTTTTTTTTATGAATCAGTCTCCAAATCTTACTCTAAAACTTTGAAAAAACTATACATTTGTCCATTGTGAACTTTTCTCTTCATATATTAGCATAGCTAATATAATAATTTATTGATAAAACCAATAATATTATTTAAAGTCAGTGTCTGGCCCATGCTGCAGAAGCCATATTAAAAATCCTATTAACTCGCTAAGAAAAGCTTAAGGCAACAGCTAAGAGCTGAGGTGAGGAAAGAGAAAGAAAGCAGAGGTTATCATAAGACAGTGGAAAAGGGTCAAATGAGTAAGCATCATCAGGCTGAAGAAAAGAATTTTTGTTACAAATACTTGCAAAAAGATAAAGCTCAAAAAGGAGTGCTGAAGATTCATTTTCTTAACCAATAAACATTCCAGAGTTATAACTTTACTCCTGAAACAAGGTCTTACAGACTTTCATTAATAGAATAATTCTCTCTCATGTTTCCCCATTATTAGTTTTTGAACTTTGTTTTCAAGCCCTTCTTTTCACCTTTTTCATTATGTCTTTGATTAGAGCAGCCCAACAAACCCTACAGAACACGATTTTCGTGGCGTGTTTGGGTCTCTCCTTGAGACACAGTCATCAAACCTTCAACTCAAACAGGAGTAATTCCCACCTCTGGGACCTCTGGTCTGTAACTAGAACAAACCTTTCAGCACTGAAACTTATTTAAGCTACAAACTTTGCAAATTATTCCTGTAAAACAATGACCTCAAAGCAGGAGTTTTTCAAGCTGCAGATCAAATACATTCAGGGTTTAGTACAGTTTACATTTCATCTCTAAGTCTGAGATTATGGCATTAGTAACTGGTTTCCATCTCGTTTCCAAAGTGGTTTGAAGTTCAAATAGTTCCACTGTGTGAACTTAAATATTTTCTTAAAAAATAGTAAACAGCAATTCTTTTCCTGACTTTCTAAGCAGATATAGAGAAAACAGAAAAAAGCAGCAAGACAGAAAACAAGTATTGGGTTGTCGGAAAAGGCAGGACATATTTTTTTCTATGTTTTTCGTTGCAAAAATGCGTCATGACTTTTCCGACAACCCAATAGTTAACAGATTTGTGTCTGATATGCCATTTGCAATCAGAGAAGGGATTTTAGCATGGGTTTGGAAAATGTCTAGAAGATACTTTCTAGAACTGCACCACTATTTAGCATAAACTATTATTGTTTCTGCACAAGGTATCCAATTCCTACAAAGAAAAACCAACTACAACTACTCCAAAAAACGAGTGATCTCCTGTTATGAGCTAAAAGGGCCGATTTTACGTCCTTATCAAAGTCACAGAGGATATCACAGCAGTAACAGAGCTGTCCTGTCCCTCGGAGCACAAGATGTTGGCACACAGGATAACTCTTCCTGAGAAAATAAACACTTCACTACTAAACCCTCCAGGGAACGATGACTCTGGGGCTGGCTTAGAAACTCAAATAATTTCCCATTAGTAGGAAGCTATTCTCTACTAACGTTTGGGTTTACTGCACGGTAGTTCATGTTTCAGAACAGTCTATAGATCTGTGTCACTGGCCCAATGGTTTTGGTTAAGAATTCATTCACTGTTTTCTAACTTAACACTCAAAAACTCCCCCTGCTAACATGGGTGCAACTTTTGTTTTCTTGTTTTCATGAACTTATAGACGTGACTAACACTGAGTTTAGATGACACAGCACTTCCTGGGGACTAACTAAAGAATGCTCTCCCATAGCCAATGGGTGCATGGGACCCCTCACAGTACTTATATCTATTATTCAACATTAAATAAGCTGTAAACATTACTGAATAATCGGGCGTGTTAATTATGCAAGAGAAACCAGGAACACCTGGTAAAAAGGCCTTAGAGGGAAAAGCCCTTTTCTTTGTGTTTTCCTAGACTTTCAGAAGTGATCCAGCTCCATGAGCTACTTGGAGCAGTAAAGGGCTATAATGAACTGACAACAAATATTCACATTTCAAGGCCTCTTCAGTCTCAAAGCACTAGGCTCAAGTGGGTAATTTCCCCTTTCTTCTCACTGATAGTCACCACTGTGAATAAAGCTTCTGTTTGTAGACTAATCTGTCACTCAAATGTCATGGTATCGTTATAACAGGGGCATCTTTCTTTCTTGATACATCTTTTCATCTTAAAAAGAACATACTCAGGGGCGGCTGGTTAGCTCAGGGTTAGAGCAGAGTGCCCATAACATCAAGGTTGCCGGTTCAATCCCCACATGGGCCACTGAGATGCGCCCTCCACAACTAGATTAAAACAACTACTTGATTTGGAGCTGATGGGTCCCAGAAAAACACACTGTTTCCCAACAAAAAATAAAAAAAAGAACATACTCAGAGTGTGAATGGTTTAGGAAGTATTAGAAGTGATTTAAACCATCATTATAAATCGTTTCTGTAGTGGCTTTTTAAAGACACTATAATCTGACATTCATTATAGAAAAAGAAGCCCCATAAAAAAACTGCTTTTCTTCTAAGTAAAATTATTTTGGCAAAAAACTGAGTTCAGTAAATAGCTCCCCAAAATAAGATTCTGACCTCCAGGGATATTATAGGACCCATTTCATAAACTTTCAAGTTCCTTTATCATGCTCATAGAATCATGGTTAAACATAGAAACCTTCTATTTGAAAACGTGTGTGTGTGTGTGTGTGTGTGTGTGTGTGTGTACACAGCGTATCTCCTAACGATTGTTGAGTAAGTTTCAGAAAGCAGTGCAGCTCTCTGAGGAAAGGCCGGGAATGAATCTGTAAAGAAATGGATGAGACCACTAGAGAGCTGCCATTTGAGGAGATTAAAGACAGAACGATCTGTGACGATGGTGACATTGAAGGACATTGAAGCTGCCAGAAATAGTAACAATCTTCTCAGACTCTGGTTTTTGGTTTTGTTTTGTTTTTTAACACCATGAAGGTGGATTTGGACAGGGAATTCAATTAAGTCTTTAGGAAGAAAATAATTAAATCCATGGCTGTCCTTCCGTGAAGTTTGAGCACTTGAAACCTCTCCTTGAACTCCTTTCTGATAAACCAAGCCATCTACTGCTAAGAACTATCTGGGACAGAGTCAAATGAAGTGTGTACTGTCCAGTGGCAAAACCAGGCCACGATCTTGGTGCTTGTCCTCTGTGACTGTTCTCTAACCTGTGGCTTATGTAGCAGGTACATTTATTAATTGAAATCCATTTTTGTTTGATAGCTTTCCCATTTGAAAGCCCTGTTTTCTTAGAAAAGTAGCTTCCTTCTGAAATGATTTATTTGATTTTGTTAATTTCAGAAGTATAGAATTTAATTATGCTTAGCAAAAAGTCGTCGTCTTAAATTGGATAACTGTTATTACTCAAATTGATTTTCATGTCCCCAAGTTATTTTTAATTGAAAATAACGTGTGTACTGTATTATGGTGAAAATACTTCCTTTCAGGGACTAGTAAATTATTTACTTCATTGCCCTCTCATAAATTATTCATTATGAAAAATGCTTTTATGAGTAAAATCACATGATGCTTATTGTGACAGTTTAGGCTTCTGTGGGCTTCGTATTTTAATATTTTTAAGTGGCACTTTTGTTTCTTAAAAGGTAACAAAATAATTCATCTCTTGGTGAAAATAAATGTATTATTTTATTAAAGCCTTATGTTCTTTAACATATATCATGTCAGAATGGGCCAGCTACAGAAATCTATAGTGGATAATATTTATTGGCCAGGGTGATATTTCTAGCTCAGTAGACAGTTCAGCCAATTTTAAAGTTTTACAATTTTGTAAATGCTAATTATCTGGCAATGCTAATTATTAGGATACCCAATATCCATGTTTCTACATAGAAGTCAACATCTAAAAAGATATATTTGTACCAGTAGCTCTCCTTTCATATTGCTTAATACTCGTCAATTTTAGTTTTATATATGTGTGTGTGTGTGTGTGTGTGTATATATATATATATATATATAGGCAAAAAACTGAATTCAGAAAGTATATATTTATATACATTTATACATACATATATATATATATACACATACATATATTTTCATTCCTTTCTCAGAGTAAATCATCTCATATCTCATATGTTTTGTTCCTCAACAAATTTTTAGCACAGATTTCTTTAAAATATGAAATCCCTAATTGAAATACACTTTGTTAATGGTCTGATGCTTTGTCCACTGCAAAAATGGATTTTGAGTGACAATCTTCAAGACAAACAAGAAAACTGATCCTTCCTAGTCAAGAAAGTGAAGGCTTTCCGTCTTATCTTTTGGCGTTTTTGCTTTACCGTAGAAGCCCGATCACTTACCAAGCGGCAAAAATGCAAGACGGTTTCCAGCCATGGAGAGCTCGTTGAGGCTGGGCAGCTGGCAGAGGTGGCGTGGCACGCACCACAGACGATTTCGGTCCACAGTGAGGTACTGCAGAGAAAGGCACAGGTGAAGCCTCTCCGGTAAAGTTAGCAAACGATTGGTAGAAATGTCTAGAGTCTGCAGCTCCTTCAAATCGCCAACCTCTACAACCAAAACCAAAATTAAGATAAATCACATCCTGATTAACATAATTAATAGATCACATGAATCAATACTGTAACAGTTCAACCAAATAACATCAGTAGCTGCAGCTATTTCCATATAAATGCCAAAGCACGCACGGGGTTTAGGTTTAGTATACAAATAATCCAAGCTAGGTGAGTGTCTTTAAATGAGCTTGCCAGAATTTTTTTTTAATGGAGGAAGTGCTGGCACGGAGAAAGGAGAGACACGAAGTGGTGAATCTCAGCCACAAGTCTGTTACTATGGCTTCTTGATGAATCCAAAGCTGTTGTCAGGGTGAAAAAAAAAATCATTACAGTCACTATAAGATACCTGGTTTTTGCTTCTTTCATGATTTTAACTATCTAAGTAGATAGGAGACTTATAGATATAAGTTCTAGTATTCCCATAAGCATACCTTGTTCATGTGAATTAAATAGAAACTTTCTGGACTAAGAATTAGGACGTCTTTGGAAATTTTCACTATGGTAAAGATTACAATAACAACAATGAAATTATTGGTAGGTAACATTTTTAGAAATTGTCCAGCCATGTGAATCCTCTTAAAAACCCAAAGTCTACATATCCTATGAAGAGTAATTCCATCCAAATGAAACCCTTCCATTTATTCCCATATTCCCTCACTATGGATGTCCATAGCTGGAATCTGTTTCATGGTGAGTACAACTATGTCCTTGTTATACACCAAATCACCAAGTTTGCAAGTCGGGAAGTTCTTTCCAAGGTACTCTGTCCTTCTTGGGGAAAATCCCCATGAAGCATCTCTGAACAGAAGAAGTTCTGCTTAGCAATCTCTCGGGGAAGGACACTTACTCCGTCCCAGGACAGCCCGCCCCATTCCAGGCTCTGTTGAAAGCTCCGTGCAGGACAAGTCTACTTCTTTTACATCATGGAACTTCTAAGGTGAAGGGCACTGTGATGCCATCTCTCCTGAGCCTGACTCTGTTCCATGAGCCATTCCTCCAGTTAGGGTTTCCTGTGCTCCCACCACTTGACTGACTGTACCTCCTGGGCACATTCCAGCTTGTTCAGGGCTCAGATTAGTATTAGCAATGTCTTCTCTATTGGAGAGAAAATCTTCCGCCATTTTGGATGCTCAATTACACAGCTTAACTTTTCTTATAACTACAGACAGGGGGTTGGAAGACTACAGCTCACAGGCAAAATCTGGTCTGTGACCCCCTTTTTGCTGCTCACAAGCTAAGACAGGCTTTTCCATTTTTAAAGGATAGTTAAAAAAAACAATAACAACAAAAACAATAACAAATATGTGACAGAGACCCTATATGGCCTGCAAAGCCTATAAATATTTGCTCTCTCACCTTTTACAGAAAAAGGATGCCAGTTTTTGTTAGAGACTTACTGTTAACAGGAGCATTTTTAATAACTAGTTGTTAAATAAAAGCAATACAAGTGCAAAATACATTCATTTCTAGTTATTTTTATAATATGACAAATGATTTGTGCTCGAGTTCACACTTCCTTGCCCAATTTTCCCAATACTGAACAACATATGTATTTGAAGATGGGGAGGCAGAATTCAGTAAATAGTCTGCGACTCTTAATGGGCGTTTTGTTCTATTTGAACCTAGCTCATGCACATGGAAGTCAGTTTCACTCCTGGCTCCATGAGCAGAGTTTTTCATCATGGTAAGAGGGCCTGCCTGTATATTTCACACACACAAAAAAAATTGCTTCTGATTTGGGATGTGCAGGGGTGAGGGAGTTGAGGGAATCATCATCATGTTTTAAAATTGAATAGCAATGAAAAAGAAACAAGAAACCTTTCTGACTACACTTTGTAAAGTGATTAGAGGAGTGAAATGGGGCAGAAGTGCAACCAATCAGCTATATACCATGGGGCCAGGTGCCGAAAGAATGACACATGGTCTCTGTCACCAAGAATCACATTACGCACAAGAGACAAGGCGTGATAGGGGCTCAGAGAAAGAAGTGTAGGACATGGAGTTGGAGAAGCTTCTGCAAAATTTACTGAAGGCGATGGGAACTTGAATAGGGCAAAAGGAAAATGGACAGAGCATCTCCAGTAGGGGATAGAGGTGGGGTTGAAAGCATCAGGAAGGGCATGGAAGTGGAAAAAAAAAATACAGCATGCACAATGGGCTACTGGAGCCCAACGAGTATCAAAGACACCAAAGGGAGAAAAGTAGAAAACAAGTTCAAACAAGTTCAATACAGGGGGCTTGGGGAGACATGGATGGTTCTCATAACAAAAAAAAATTGTAACTATGAATGGTGACAGATGTTAACTAGACATATTGTGGTGATCATTTTGCAATATATACAAATATCAAATCATTATGTTGTTATACCTGAAGCTAATATGATGTTATATGTCAACCATACCTCAATTAAATAAAAAAAGAAGAAAAAATGTTTATAAACATGAAAGAAGCCAGTAGAAGCGGTACAGAAAAACAAAAAAGATACAAGGTATGTGGAATATAAATGGCAAAATGGCTGCTGTATATCTGACCATATCGACATTTACATTAAATGTCAACAGACAAAATAAACTAATCTAACAGGAAGATGGTGTCAGATTGCATAAAAAAATATATGCTGTTTATAAGAAACACACTTTAGATTCAAGTGTACAAATAGGCGGCAAGTAAAGGATGAGAAAAAAATATATACCATGCCAAAAATAACCAGAAGAGAAACAGGGTGGCTGTATTCATATCTGAAAAATGAACATTAAGACAAGAAATATTACAAGAGGCAAACAGACATTTCATGACAGTAAAATGATCAGCTTCAGGAAGATATAACAATTATAACTACACACACACCCTCAAAACAGAATCCCAAATTACAAAAAGCAAAAACTGATAGTACGGAAAGGAGAAGTAGACATCTCAACGTTGATGGATAGAGAATATATCACTCTTAAAGAACTGATAGAACATCTAAAAAGCAAATAAGCAAGGATATTGAAGACTTAATGTATACTATCAACCACATTGACCTAATTTGACATTTATACAACACTATGGCAAAATACACATTTTTTTCAAGCATACATAGTACATCTTCTAGTATAGACCATATGTTAGACCATAAAACAAGTCTCATATTTGAAATCATACAAAGTATATTCTCTGAGCAAAATGGAATTAAATTAGAAA